AAAGCAGCTTTGGAAATTGTTCAGTAAAAGGTTTATCATATTTCCAATTTTCTCCGTCGCCATTTGTTATAATCCTTCCACTAGACGCGATTCCGAAATAGACACTTTACTGCTCCAGAAAACTTCTAGCCCAACCGAAAGAAAAAGTAGAACGTCAATGACCTTGACAAAGTAACGTGTCAATCGCCGTCAACAAACCACTGTACAACCTCATCAGACCTTGGCTGTATTTGTAGGTCTCTTACTGATCTTGGACTTCTGGAATAGGAAGGTCAACCGTCAAGGTTGGTTGTTCCACCTAGATGTGGATGATCCTTAGGAGTTTACTAGACACGTGTAGGCACTGCAATATTCCAGAATTTTCGAAAGCAATGCGATAATCGATAACAATCGAATAATCGCTGAAATAATGGATATCCTGGATAATCCTTATCTTTTTCCGAAGAGGATGAATAAGAAGGCGGAAAGGCCTGAGCAGTAGCATTCAAACCCCTATCCATCCTGCACGATGCAGCAGATGGGGCGACGTTTATTATCCTCTGTGACGGTCAGAGCATCAAGAGATTGTTAGAAGAAAAAGTCATGGTGTATTGGGTGGGCAGAATACCGTCAAGTTGCCCAGGCTTAGACAGGAGGATGACTTGGTTTCTCGACCCAAGGGGGGAGGGGGATTTGGGCACTGGACTACAGTGAGCCCGATTTATGAGGTAAGGAGCCATCGTCACACCAATCCCAAATCTGGAAGGCCAGGAGACTTTTGTTTGACTTCTAACCATTGACCAAGCTCGTATGAGTGGCTATGAAGGTGCAAAAAGCCCCATCAAGCATAGCTCAATGGATCACTGAGGGACACGAACCATCGCATCACGTTAAGGTCCAGTCTCCTCGCAATATATATATATATATATATATATATATATATATATATATATATGAAATATGCAGTTAGAGAAGAAGAGTATCACAGTAGGTACGCCATTGTTTACGTCCTTTGCCATATCCAGTAGCGTTAGCAACCAGATGTGTTCGCGACCATTGGGTTCCAACTAGGGAATCTACAAAAGCCAGCAACAGCTAGCCTCGACATTTGCACCTTAACGTATTGAATCAGGTTTTACACTGGCCACCTTGTCATCGCTTCTATCCCACGCCTATACTTGCAAAGAAGTCACGTCGTGGTAGCCATAGAGTAGGAATGTGAAGCATGAGCCCAAGACAGCTAGACCTTTGCAGAATTTGTCAGATTTGAAGACCAACGATAAACCTCTATTACTGATGTGATGCTGCCATCAAACACCAGCAATGCTTAGCAGGAAGGGGTGATGGAAGACATATAGCCACTGAACGGGCCAATTCTAGCAGCCATAAAGCAGAACTGCTGGTACCGCAGTATTATAGGCGCAACGCTTCAGAGCGACGCTGAGGTCACAACGATGACACAAGTGGCAGAGGTTAGCAATAGCTACTTTAACCTTGGAGATGCGCAAGGAGATCACATCCGTCAAATTGCCAAGAGTAAGAACTACTTGTCTGTTCACGCTATAAGGATATGCTGCTATTGCTGACCTCATCTATGGTTATTTATCAGTTTAAGTGCGCTTGTGACGCTACTTACATTGGTGGAATGGCACGGCAGTTGTCTAAACGCGTGAAGGAGCACTGCTCGCGCTGGTTGCGTCAAGGAGGAACTGGGGCCATTAGCAGCACCTTTCTGGCCCATATTATCGACACGGAGCACCAAGATGATCTAAAGCGTGCCTTCAGGATAATGTACAGCGTCTTCCAGCATCAATCAAGAGGTTTGCGCCTCCGTGCGCTCACGACAGCTGAATCGATTTGCATCTAGTTGTTTCAATTTTCTTTATGCTCGCAAAAGAAGTTGCTCCATACCTTACAGCTCCTCTGGTCAGCTAGAACGAACGATGCTGAGGTCGATTGCCACAGATCAAGCTTGGTACCATGCAATCGACCTGTCAGGTCAAAGGTCAACTTTTAGCCTCCCTCACTTAACTAGGTAATTTGAGCCAAGGATACGATTTCAGTTCTTTATTTTATCCTTAAATATGATTGTGATGGTCTGGAGAGAATCACTGAAAACAATCGTTCCCTTATGGTCTCGTGTTCTTTTTAACTAAATGTAAGTAATTTTGTCGACCATTTGCAGGGATGCACCGAAAGAGTGAGGAGACGCAATAAGCCAAAAGTCAACCAAGTTTGGGAGGCGGACATCTTTAGCTTAAGCATTATATGTTGGGCGGCCTGGAAAAACTCGGAACTAACAGTGATTCCATTTGCGGACTCCAAGTTCCGAAGGCGGTCACCCGAGTATAGTTCAAAGCCGCAGGACTCGGAGTTTTCCAGGACTGTCTCCAGGATTTCATTCATCGCGAAGTTGAGACTGGGCAACCCTGTCTAACACCGCTATTGATACTGAAGATGAGTGAAGCTCCGTATACTCGCAGGCGGCCCGAGTCTTGATAGTAAATGACATGGGGAATACTGGTGTACTTCACAGGTACTCCCCACTACAGTAAGCAGTCAAAAAGCCACTCATCAACAGAGTCAAACGCGGTTAGAATGTTGAAGGAAATGATTATGGGTGGTCGACTGAACGTATGGCGGTGTTCAAGTGGCTGACGGATCGTAAAGATGTGATTGACGCAAATGCAACCACAGCTAAACCCAGCTAACACTGCACGCAAGTGCTGTTCCCGTAAGCAAATAAGCCGCCGCAAGAGTAGGGCACAGAGCAGCTTGGATGCAACACAAATGAGACTGATCCTGCGACGATTGGAACAAAAGGGGCCTGTCTCGTTTTTTGTACACAAGAACATCTGCTAAATGCCAGGCGGATGGAATGGTTTCAGTAGTCCAAATCAGATAAAAGAAAGATGTCAGTTCGTTGGGTGAGAGTCGGACCCCCCATATTTGAAGAGGGAAGAGAGGGAAGTTCATCTGGGCCAGGGGAGTGGTGGTGCTTTAGCAGGCGAATTTCATGGGAAACTTTAGCCCCACTCGGAGGAGAAACATCAACGCACTGGGGAGCATTGTGAATCCCGGAAGATGGATTCGGTTGTGCTGGTGGCTAGTTGAACTGATCTTCAAAGTGCTGTCTTTGCTAATATGCGAAATTGGTCGGCAAACACGAGACCGAAGCGTAGGCTTACACTTGTGTGACAAATAAGCAGAGCCTAAGCAATAAAAGGCCATTGCTGCATGGTCGTCCAATCCAAGAAGTATGGCGAAGAGAACAGTTATATAAGTAGTGGGGATTTAGAGATGGAAAAGTGAGGATAAGCTATGAAAATCTCAGCGCGAACAGAAAGCACTTGAAGTGAATTCCCCTACAAGGTCGCAAGTTGATGTGATCGTAAAAAGGTGGAGAAATCATACAAGTAGGTGACCAACGTCGGTTGAACACGGTTGAGTGTCCACAATCGATGGCGCCTGAATAAATTTTCGAAACAAATACACATAACATTTCGGACAACAGCCCCTTTCATTTCAATGCACTTTTTCTTGGTCCAAACATGTCATGTGATTGTGAAAAATGCTGGTTCAATGGCAGAAAAAATAACAGGACGATTCTGATTAGTTTGTGTTTCCTAATTTGAAATGGCGCTCACGTTTATTTGAAAAAGTATTAATGCAATGTTATAGAAAGGTTGTACCATTATATGGTCTGTTCCTTTTAGGGAACAGCTTCCCGCAACATCGAAGAATATACGATTTACTAATTTAATCCAACAGTTGTCCTCATGTAATATGGTTGATCAAGGGTCACAAACCATTTGGGTTAAGATAACATTGACGCCCGGGTTTTCCCTACCTAAACAAAAACCTAGTCGGGTAGGATTCGGTAGCTTCTAACATCAGTGGTAAGAGGCACTTTATTCCTGAGTAGTAGGGTTTATAGAGTTACTGTGAAGAATCGTCGCAGCTTGACTCAGGTAGACAGCCACCACATATCCAGGAAAGTGCTAAATGGCCGTTTCGTCCTATTGGGAAGCGTCAGTAGCACACATTCGTCGAATCCGGCAGGATTCGAACTCTTGACCTTAATAATACGAACAAGAGATCAATGTCACTGAGCCATGAGTGACGGCAGCGGACCGCGATGCCTGATATTCAACTGCGATATAGCGCGGCTCATCCTCCACTGTCATGCATGGTATGAACGTGTAGAGGACAGTGCTGGCCTCAAAAGCAACGACTTTCTTTGCAAACGGTCACAAATCGACGCGGCACGTATGCCGCTAAGACGATTACTGATTATTAGTGAGTGGCAGCTTACATACCACCTCGATTGGTGGCAACTTGCAAAGGAAAACGCTGCTCTGAGGGCCAGCCCTGTCCTCTGCACGTTCAAAGCATGCATAACAATGGAGGAAAGGTCGAGCTATATCGCATCTAGAGATCAGTCGTGACGGTCCGCTGCCGTCACTCATGGCTCAGTAGAATAAGTCTCTGGATCAAAAGAATAGGGTCATGTATTCGAATTCGCCAGGATTCGGCAGGTGAGAATTACTGACGAATCCCAATAAAGCGAAACGGCGGTCTAGTCCCTTACTTGATGTGGGGTGACAGTCTGCATGAGACGAGCTGCGACGGACCATTTCAGAAAAGAGATGCTTTATTTGATTAACGGATACCTAGTAGATCCTATTCGAACGACCAAGTGGAACTGACGGTGTGGCTTGTGTGATCGAGACATGCGACAATCGAGGATTTCACAGCTTTACAGCTTCCAATTAAGGGACAGACAGCGACCAGTACCTTCAGACCATAGAAAAGTTACACGGTAGTACGACGAACGCATCTTACCCAATAGGAATGAGACTGTGAATATGTTTGTTGCCAGATTAGAGGTGTGCAATGATATAAGCACCAACATACCAGTTGATGTAAGATCATAATTGACTAGAAGATAACGTACAAGCCAATCGTCTGACAAAACTTTGCAAAAACTAGTTGTTGAACAGGTCAATATGGAGACGCACCAGCAACAAGCACAAAGCTCACGAAGAAGGTCCGAGTCCGGTGCACAGCTCCCAGAGGTTGTAAGTTTTTCGACCAGATAAGGAAGCCGCTCTACTGGACCTAAAGGGCTCTTGTTCTTTGGCATGTTCTCTGAAAATAAAAAGGCATAGGATAAGTAGATAGGTTATAAGAAGAGTTTCACAGAAAACGAATCTCTACAAACAGGATTTTATCTGTATGAACAGGAAGAATGTCTCATTTAGTGGTTGTGGTTTCTGATTTTTTCTGCGTTTGTATGCTGCCCTCTGGCTAGATTAATGTGTTAGTGAAGCAAAGATGGATGCAGAAACCAACCAATTTGACCAACCACTCTTCGTTGTGAGTGCTGTGATCCGGGACCTCTGCAAATGGAAAGCAGAACCTTCAGAAAGTTACCAGGACGCATAAACTCACTCCCCCATTTTGACCAGTTGTCCAAACCGCCCCACGTTAAGAGTCAGGCAACCACCGCGGACAGCAGTATTTCCCTGCGTCAACTGAAGAACATCACAGGGTGCAATAAGCGAACAGTGCTCGTTCCAAACAGATAGATTGATGGTTCCCGTACGATCTGCTACCTTCGCAGTTCGAACTTCATTACCATCTTTAGTGCGAGTGATAGGTCCTAGGAAAAGTTATGTGTAGGAAACAACGAACCTAGTTCGAGAACAATGAAAATGCAGTTCACTCGTTTCATGTTTGGCTTAAGATCCTTAAGAAAAAGAGACTGATCTTTCGTATCACCCATTGCAAGTGAAATAGAAAATGATAAAACTATAAAATAAATAAAATTATGCCAGGTTAGCGAAAAAAAAACTCATGGATAAAACAAGGATGGTGATTATGGTCACAGGCTGTTAGTAACAAGAATGAAGCTGATTATCTCATGAATAAAAGAGATAAAGAATTTTTAAGTGAACAGTGTGAGAGCACATACAAGTTGTGCCATAAGTACCACACACGGCTTCATCCACACAACCCATGTCCAATGTAAACCCGAAGGAACAAGACTTGGAGGCATGCAGATGGGGGGCCCGATAGTTTCCGAGTCGGACCACACTTCGTCAGCATGCAAATCACCCACATGAGTAGATGGAAATAATGATAGCAGACGCGCACAGGGCCGTGACCCATTCCCAAATGCCTGGAACCGTACTTTAGGTCTATCACTATCGTGAAGACTGCATCCTGCATCTCCCAGCAAGTCTCCTGAAGTCAGTAAACGGGGTGCCAGTTGTCGACAAGTAGGCGCCTTGCCAACACTCTCCTCAAACGTGTCCGACATGCGATGTCAATCAAGGAACTGTTAAAGTGCGAGAAAATAAAACGCAGTCATATGTCCAGAACAACAATAGTGACGATATAGCACATGTGTTACACCTGCCGCACCAATGGACTGGGAAACGAAGTGGAACCGGAAGCGCTGTATTTACCCTGCGCTGAAACATATACATTCAACTTATACCCCGCTTCTTCGTGATCACGTTGATAGCATACCAGATGGCATGAGATTCTGCAGCAGGTGGATAAGATCGCTCGGCAAGGTGTCTGAGACTTTCGTAATCCGCGAAGTTTCTCATGTATCAAGACCTACTGCTATATTTGAGTAACGGCATTCTCGACAAGGTCACGCCAATCGTTGAGATCCACTACCAATGATTTCCAAACTGGATCCAATCCACATGTCTCCCGGTGTTATACCTTAGGTTTACACCGGATATGGAAAGTGTGGATCCAGCTGTGGGTGATGCAGCGCAAGCCACTCATAGTCACTCTGTAGCTGCAGGCGTCTGTGGTTGTAAAATGGAAGCCCCAGCGACAGCCAAAATCTGAAGCGGCTATTGAGATAAAGGCTCCAGGCGGAGTTCCTCAACCAAACCCCCTAAGCGAGTGCTGGAAGATGCGCGCACTACAGGACCGGAACTCCAGTGAGCGCCCCGAACGATGCACTGCACTGGTCGCGATGCAACTGGCGCGCTATAAACTCAATATTGCGGTGTTCAGGAAGACCCTTCTCGCTGAGCAGGGTAAGTTGCATGAAGGTGCTGACTACAAGTTCTACTGGGTGGAAAACGCAACCTGTACCACGTGAACATGGGGTCGGATTTGCAATATCCGATGGCCTCAATGGCCAGCTGGTGGGTGAACCAACAGGCATCAGCCTGCGACAAAGGACTGATCGCCTACGATTCGGGAGAGGTAAGTTTCCCACTTTTCTTAGCATGTACGGCCCGACTATGTGTTATCCTGATGACACGCGTGATCAATTCTACAATCAGCTATCCTCCGTGATACGGTCTGTGCCGAGGAGCGACCGACTATTTCTGCTGGGTGATTTCAATGCGCGTGTTGGGCGTGACGCACCGGTGTGGACAGATGTCATCGGCCCGCATGGCATTGATTCAGAGAATGCGAACAATGACAGACTGTGCTCACTGTGTGCCACTCACGGTCTGACGACCACGAACACTCGGTTTGCACTGAGCGCGAGTAATATAGCAACTTGGACGCACCCACGGAGTGGTCACGCTCACCTGCTCGGCTATGTCATCGTACGTCAGCGTGACGTGCGCATGACACGTGCACTGCGTGGAGCTGAGTGTGGCACTGATCATAAATTGGTGCGGACCAAACTGTAGATATATTTTCGCAAATCAACGTATTTCACTCCTGCCGTAAATCGACGTAAATTTCACATTCTCTCCCTCGGTACTGTGGCGAAAGGTATTGAGCTATAATAGGAGATGGCTGCACGACTGTGTGATGTGGAATGCAAAGCCACAGTGGGCGACCTGCGCCTAACTGACAGCTGCTGCGGAGCAGATCATCGGGTGCACAAACTGTAGACGTTCTGACTGGTTTGATGAGAACAATGCGATGGTTGTCACATTGGTGTCGGAGAAGAATCAAGCAGCTGCTGCGCCTGTGTCAGACCCCATTGATTTTAGGGAGAAGAGTGAATTTCGCAGACTTCGACGAAGACTGGCCTGCGAGCTTCGTCGCATTAAAAATGCATGCGGAACGGAGAATGCGAAGCAGATGGAATGCTACGTCGAACGCCGCCAACACAAGGAATTCTTTGACTCCTTGAAGGCGGTGTATAGACCGAGGTTGCAGACATTGAGGACGCTAATCGATGGTAGTTCAGGTGCAACCTGGACACTGCTCGACATACACAATGCAGATATGGCGAAAACACGTTGATTCTTTCTTGAACAACAGTTCAGAGATGGACTGGCCTACTTTGAACGGCATGGAACAGCACGACGTGAACGTAGGTCAAGCAAACACGCCGACACTGGATGAGACGCAGAGAGCACTTGTTCAGATGCGAAACGACAAGTGTGCCGGTGCCGGTGAGATCTCGCCTGAACTACTGAAACATGGCGGACCGGCGTTGGTGACTGCGCTGCATCGCTTGGTGCAACTAGTGTGGATTGAGGAGGAGGTGCCCTTGTGAGGAGGTGCGCCTTTGTGCTACCACTGTACAAGGGCAAAGGGATCAAACAATGTTGCAAGAATTAGCGTGGCACCAAGTTGCTGAGTTGCATGGGAACGTGAGTGTCCGAATCCTGCTCAACCGCCTCGTTAGTCAGATTGTGGAACCGAACGTGGCGGAAGAGCAATGTGGATTCCGTTCGGATCGCAGCACCATCGATGTGGTGTTTACGGCTCGCCAGTTGCAGGAGAAGTGTAAAGAACGACACCAGCCCTTGTACTCGCTTTTTGTTGATTTTACCAAGGCATTTCATTCGATGAGCCGCGAGGCATTTTGGCTGGTGTTGGGTAAGTTTGGTTGTCCGAGTAAGTTTTTCAGTTTAATTGAATGTCTGCACAGGGGTATGCGGAAGAGGGTGCAGCTGAGTGGAGAGACCTCGCATGATCTTGCAGTGTGAAGTAACGCTGTGTCTTAGCTCTTGCCCTGTTTAATATTTGTCTTCATGCAATGATGCCTTTTGCTTTTGGTGCCGCTTGTGCTTACAGTGTTCGTGTGGAGAAAATTATTGATGCTGGGTTGCTGAAGATCCGTCGTTTCGGTGCAATAACCCTAGTCTGTGAAAACATTTTCCGTATGTTGCTGTTTGCTGACGACTGTGCGTTGTTTGTACACAGCGCGGATGACTTGCAACGCATGACTAGTGCTCTGGCTTCGACAGCGGCCAAATTCGGGCTCACCATCAACACAAGCAAAATTGTCTGTCTCTTTCAGCCTTCACCGGAAGTGCAATATACCACGGTGCCGCAAAGCAGCATTGGTGCTGAAGTATTAGAAACCACCTCCCGCTTCTGTTACCTTGGGAGTGTGATGTCGACTGATCAGCAGCTTCACAGTGAGATTCGTATCCGCGTATCGAAGGCAGCGGCAGCATTCGGGAAGTTAGTGTACCGAGTGTGAAACAACCATCAGCTTACTGGTGGCACGAAGCTGATGGTGTACAAATCCATGGTTATGTCCGTTCTTCTATACGGCAGCGAAACGCGAACGACGTACCGGCGAGATGTGCGATATCTCGAGTGCTTCTATCAACAGTGTTTGCGGTGGATTATGCGCATCGGATGGGGTGACAAAGTTGCGGACACGGAAGTGTTGCGTCGAAGTGAAATGTATGCAGTGGACTGCATACCTGAGATGGATCGGTCATGTGAGTCGTGTGGAATCCACGCGGATATCATCATCATTATACACGTTAGCTGCAGGTGGAAAACAGCTATTGTGCCGCAATACAAAAGACAAGAAGAGGAAAACGAACAGTGGCGCGCCAGCTGATTCCCCCGTAACGGATGGACATCGTTCAGGAGAGCTAACAGTTGGCTATCGCGCAGTAAAAGGAGTCATATCATGCCTAACGAGTGAGAGCGTGATTGGAGGCGACGCGGATACCGAAGCAGTTATTATATGGTGAGCTGAGTATTGGGCAGCGGCATGTAGGGAAACAAAAATTACGTTACCAGGACATGATCAAAGTGAGCCTCTCACGTTCTAATCTTAATTGCAGGTCATAGGAATCGAAGGCGGTTGATCGGCGTGCATGGCGCGATCTGATCACAAAGACAGTTGCCGAAGTGCGGGAGAAAGACCACATTCATGCAGAAGAGGCGTCAAGCGCGGATGGGTTGTACTCCATCGACATCGAGCACAAGGTGCTGTAGCACATGCAGTGCGAGTGACTGAGTTAGACAGGCCCAGTGAGCCATGAGCGAGGCCACTCAGCGCCAACACTGAAGCGACGACTGATCCTGCAGAGAACGTAGGAAGATCCAGTGCAGTATTAGTAGGCACGCTGCATTCAATTTACTAAACGCCAGACTGAATGCTAAGTCTCTTTCTTTTAGATGGTTGGTTTGCTAAATCGTCTCATTCTTGCTTACGTCAACTATCTTCTATTAACTTGTACACGTCGCTCAAGTTAACTGTAGTTAACTTGGATAAAATTTTCGCGGTTGTGGCATCTTCGTACAAAACGTTTTCTGACGTCTTGAACCCAGAGCAGAATTTCTGGCAACCAATTTATTTCATATGTTTATTTATTGAAGAGCTATGTAGGCATTTCTGTATGCATCATTCCATTTATTTCACTTGACATCATCGTTTCAAGTGATTGGCTGTTGCTTGATATACCCGGTGTGGATGCGCTTGATATGCATGTTGACAAGGTGCCTACCTGACTATTATCCACTACGTCGTCCATCTGGCTCTAGGAAACAGTTGGTCGTTGCTGGAGAGGACTGAGTGTACCGTCCTTGTGGTCGTGCTAGGCTCGAAGAGTGGTTCCA